ATGATATAGAGTATCATTGTGATGGTCCAATGTTAGAAGATGCAGAGTATCATTGTGATGGTCCAATGTTAGGTGATGCTGAGTATCATTGTGGTGGTTCAATGTTAGATGATGTAGAGTATCATTGTGATGGTCCAATGTTAGATGATGCAGAGTATCGTTGTGATGGTCCAATGTTAGATGATGCAGAGTATCGTTGTGATGGTCCAATGTTAGATGATGTAGAGTATCATTGTGATGGTCCAATGTTAGATGATGAATGAATCCCTGACATGCCACAATATACAGCAGCAGTATCATTTTTCAGAACAGCTCCACCTTTTATCATTAAGAAAGGCGTCTTTAATCTCCAGTGACTGTGCCTAGGCTCAGATTATGTCACCAGTCTGCTGCAGGCAGGAGGAAGCATTTCCTCAGTCTTTCCCCCCCCCCCCCCAGTGATCAGGCTGCAACATTGTGGCAAGCTTCCATTGTATTTGAATACAGTTAGATGCAGCCCAGATATACTGCGAAGGATTCAGACCTTCTTCCAAGCTGTGAACTTGCTGTGACTTGGAAATTTGATTACAAGACCAGCGGCAGAAATAGTTCTGGCCCAGAAAATCAGAACATAACTAAGTTTTGGGGGTCATCGGGTCAGGTGTTATACACCAGGAGGAGAGGTGACTCATAATGCCCATCTTCTCCCCGCGGCCGTTTCCTGCTCGTGTATGGAGGATCCTACAGGGAATCATTAGTAGACGTGAACCTGAGACCTTCCTGCGGGCAACAAAATAACAACCAGTCCAGCCACTAATGTGAGTTTATTTGTCATAAATCCACCACCTGAATGTAAAGTCCCCTCGTCAAGCTGTCACACGCCATGTCCTTCACACACAAGGACTGTATTATCTTGGCAGATGGTGCATGGGGACAATATCATTACCAGGATTCCTCCTCTTCCTTCATTAACCGTTTTAGCGCCGTGCCGCCTGTACTTATTTGCTAAACAAGCTCTTTTTGGCTTTACTGTCCTAATCCCCCCTCCTCCGTGTTCCTTGGATGTAATCTGTCTGAGCTCATTCACCAAGGGGGTGTTTGGCCCAGTCTCAAGGACAGTCACTTAGGCTGTGTCACCAGGTCACCTCTAGGGTCCTCAATGGGAACGGTTTAGTGTTAAGTAATTAGGGATTTGTCACCTCGTTTGTCATGGTTTGTTACCGTATCGCCATTGAGCGGGCTGGAAATGAACCGCAGAACTCAGACATGTTATTACATAATTAGCGAGCAAATTAGGTGGAGGAAGGCGGAATGCGAGCTCACACGAAAACGACGTCAGGGCAGACACAAAGAAAATTATTAAACCCGGAGAGCTGGGGAGGAGGAGTGGGCAGGAGGGATAAAACTATTCATAGACCTAATGAACGGCGAATAATTCCACATCGAACAATGGTCCACCAACAGGTCGGACTCTGAACATAGGTAAAGCCAGTCTTCTTATCAAATGTGATTCCCCTTCCACCCTCCCACTCAGTGGTGTATTTTCGGTTTTGTGCTTCCCTAGGCAACACAAAAATTGGCGCCCCCTCTGCAGCAGAAAGAGCCTGACATTGACCAAGAAACACCCTGCCCTCCACCCGAGTCTTCCACACCACTGCACCCCATACACCAGCCACCATCCCCCATGGCGAGAGAGCGACACTCTCCTTCACAGGTCCGGACATCCCCGGGAATGAGAGTCTGTGCATACACCGTCATGGAACCCAATCTCTTGGAACCCACCAGGTCCCCATGCCCGTGTGTCCCTTCTTCCATCCCTTCTTCCAAGGGGCAGTGCTGCCCCACCCTGAAAAAATGCCACCCTAGGCAAATGCCTTGTTTGCCTTGTGGTAAATACACCTCTGTTCCCACTATTCACAATTAAAAAGCCTCCAGTCTTTTTTTCGACTTACCTGAATCCACGATCAGATGACCCTCTGTGGCACCTCAACTATGAGTGATCCACCATTGCAATCTGGCCTGCCGTTGGCTGTTGCCACCACAGTGGAAGGAATGATTTCCCTTCCACCCTTCCCACTATTCACAATTAAAAAGCCTCCAGTCTTTTTTTTTTACCTGAATTATCAGATGACTGTGGCACCTCAACTATGAGTGATCCACCATTGCAATCCTGGCCTCCCATTGGCCGTGTTGCGACCACAGTGGAAGGAATGATTTCCCTTCCACCCTTCCCACTATTCACAATTAAAAAGCCTCCAGTCTTTTTTTTTTCGACTTACCTGAATCCACCATCAGATGACCCTCTGTGGCACCTCAACTATGAGTGATCCACCATTGCAATCCTGTCCTGCCAGCCTCCAGTCTTTTTTTTTCGACTTACCTGAATCCACCATCAGATGACCCTCTGTGACACCTCAACTAATCCACCATTGCAATCCTGGCCTGCCATTGGCCCTGTTGCCACCACAGTGGAAGGAATGACACCATTCCTTCCACTGTGCCATGTGACCATGGAGTTGGGTAAGAAATCAGGGCACTTAGTTTTTTTTTTTTTCCACCGGTTTTGCTGCTTCTCCTTATCCTAGCGGAGACCTTGTAGAAGACCCCTCCAATGGACAGCTAATAAAAAGAGCTCATGTTGCCAAGGAGGGATGTGACTCTTTAGTGCAGAAGAAACAAGCCTTGTGTGAGCTGCCCCTCATTCCAATGGAGCCCCTGTGGGGACCCCACTAATGGGCAGCCAATAAAAAGCACCCATGTCACCAAGGATAAATATGGATCTTCAATGCAGAAGAAACAAGACTTAGAGACTTGCATGTCATGTGATTGCAGATTCACATAAGAAATTGGGGCACTTAGACTTTTTTAAATTTAATTCCACTGGTCTTGTTGCCATTCCTCATCCCAACAGAGGCCCTCTGTGGCCCCTACTAACAGAGATCCAATGAAAAACACCCATGTTACCAAGGAAGGATTTGGCAGAAGAAACAAGACTTGAATACTGCTGGGTCATGTGACTGCGTATTCAGGTAAGAAATTGGGGCATATGTTACCATTTCTTATCCTAATGGAGACCATGTGAAGACCCCACCAACAGATCTCCAATAAAAAGTGCTAAAAGGACGTGGCTCTTCAATACAGAAGAAATAAGACTTAGAACCTTGCATAAACCACCCCTCATCCTAATCGAGATCCTGTGAAGACCCCACCGATGGATAGCCAATAAAAAGTGCCCATATCACCAAGGAGGGATGTGGCTCCTCAATGCAGAAGAAACAAGAGTTGTAACCTTGCGCGTACCATCCCTCATCTCAACAAAGACATTATGAAGGACCCCACCGATGGACAGCCAATAACCCATGTCACCGAGGAGGGATGTGGCTCTTCAATGTAGAAGAAACAAGATTTGGAGCCTGGTGTGTACCATCCCTCATCCCAACGGAGACCTTGTGTGGACCCCACCAATGGGCAGCCAATAACCTATGTCACCAAGGAGGGATGTGGCTCTTCAATGCAGAAGAAACAAGAGTTGTAATCTTTCGCGTACCATCCCTCATCTCAACAAAGACATTATGAGGACCCCACCGATGGACAGCCAATAACCCATGTCACCGAGGAGGGATGTGGCTCTTCAATGTAGAAGAAACAAGATTTGGAGCCTGGTGTGTACCATCCCTCATCCCAACGGAGACCTTGTGTGGACCCCACCCATGGGCAGCCAATAGCCCATGTCACCGAGGAGGGATGTAGCTGTTCAATGCAGAAGAAACAAGACCTGAAACCTGGCATGTCATGTGACTATTGATTTGGGTAAGAAATTGGGGTACTTAGTTTTTTTTAATTAATTCCACTGGTCTTGTTGCCACCTCTCATCCCAAAGGAGACCCTGTGAGGGGCCCCACCAAAGGACAGCCAATCAAAAGCACTGATGCCACCAAGGAGGGATGTGGCTCTCCAATGTAGAAGAAACAAGATTTTGATCCTGGCATGTCATATGACCGCATATTCAGGTAAGAAATTGGGGCACTTTGGTTTTTTAGTTATTTCCACCCTCGACCCAACAGAGACCCTATGAGGACCCCAAAATGGACAACTAGCAATTAGCTAGAGGGGATGAGGAACGTAAATGTTTTGGTGACGGTGGTGGGGCTGAGAGTTAAGCCAGAGATCAGCTTTAGCAGTAAATGACAATAAATAGCCCAAAAAAATAAAACTCTGCCAGGCTGATTGACTTCTCCTCTGGGAACAACGTCTGGGAGGGGGGTGGTGGTACTAAGACGTAACGATCGCCTCCCAGTCCAACAATCGTCTTAAGTAAGTTTAGACTTGCCATATGCTGCCTGGTTTTCTTAGGTGTAGTCTGAGCATCAGGCAGTTTACGGGCAATGTTACAATTGAACGAGTTAGAGGTCAGCCTCAGATTTCTAACCCTGGAAGAGCTCGTGTGACCATTCATCGACCGTTTTATTTCCTTGTGAAAAAAAAAAAGAACAAACCCTTTCAACACACAAATGGTAAACTCTAGACGAGGCCAAGCACAGCGAAGGGTTGGCTTTAGGTTGACCTCGTAGCCACCTATGAGATCTGTTTTGAGATTCCTACAAAATTACGGAGTGAGCGATACAGAGGCCGAACGTATGGTGGGTGGCATGGCGCCAATAAAATTGTGAGTTTTCCTCTAAAGCTTTTGAGTCTTTTGTGTTCACTATTGGAATTGTATTTGTTGGAGCAAAGCCCCCTGAGATGCATTAAAGGTGATCCTGAAAAAAAAAAGAAAAAGAACCAGAAAACAAGTCAACATTACCGCGCTATGCCTGCACAGGTTTCATGTAAAATGCTGACATCTGCATTCCTTATGAGAACAGAAGTTGCGTTGTTTAGAGGTTTGAAATCAAAGGGCGTCTCTCGCTGCCCCCCGATTTGTCCTCATGGGTCCCCGAAGTAGTATGAGCACCAGTGCCACAGCACAGCATGAATCCAATCACTATCCATTGTACGTGACACGAAAGAAGTCAACACATTTCAGGAGCTCAAAACCTCCCCTTCATCAGGGCTGGGAATAAGGTAAAATAAATATACACTATATTGCCAAAAGTATTGGCCCCGCCCTCCAAATCATGTGATTCAGGTGTTCCAATCCCCTCCCAATCATGTGATTCAGGTGTTCCAATCCCCTCCATGGACACAGGTGTATACAATCAAGCCCCTAGGCATGCAGACTGCTTCTACAAACATTGGTGAAAGAATGGGTCGCTCTCAGGAGCTCAGTGACTCCAAGCGTGGTCCCGTGATAGGTGGCCACCTGGGCAATAAGTCCATCCGTGACATTTCCTGGCTACTAAATATTCCACGCTCAACTGTTAGTGGGATTATAACAAAGTGGAAGCAACTGGGAACAACAGCCACTCAGCCACCAAGTGGTAGGCCACGTCACATGACAGGGCGGGGTCAGCGCATGCTGAAGCGCACAGTGCGCAGAAGTCACCAACTATCTGCAGAGTCAATAGCTAAAGACCTCCAAACTTGGTGTGGCCTTCAGATGAGCCCAACAACAGTGCGTAGAGAGCTTCATGGAATGGGTTTCCATGGCCGAGCAGCTGCATCCAAGCCTTCCATCACCAAGTGCAATGCAAAGCGTCGGATGCCGTGGTGTAAAGCACGCCGCCACTGGACTCTAGAGCAGTGGAGACGTGTTCTCTGGAGTGACCAATCATGCTTCTCTGTCTGGCAATCCTGATGGCCGTGTCTGGGTTTGGCAGTTGCCAGGAGAACGGTACTTGCCTGACTGCATTGTGCCAAGTGTAAAGTTTGGTGGAGGGGGGATTATGGTGTGGGGTTGTTTTTCAAGGCTTGGGCTTGGCCCCCTAGTTCCAGTGAAGGGAACACTTAAGACAACATTTTGGCCAATTTCATGCTCCCAACTTTGTGGGAAGAGTTTGGGGATGGCCCCTTCCTGTTCCAACATGACTGCGCACCAGTGCACAAAGCAAGGTCCATAAAGACACGGAGGAGCCAGTTTGGGGTGGAGGAACTTGACTGGCATTTTGATATTTGCATAACCCCTCCCACTGCTTGCATCAGGACTGAAGGCTCTTGAGAGGAGAACTGAGGCTGTGATGTTTTTAGGAAGCTATGTACAGACCCCTCCCACCAGTCATGATCTGCTTGCGTTGTATAGAGAAGCACAGAGACTCTGTGATGATATCTCTGGGACTAAAATAAGGTATGTAATGAGAACTGAAGTTTTTTCTCATTAAATTTTCATTGGTATATTGATGGTGGGGGGGGGCAGGTAAGGCAGATTAAACTTTCGCTGTAAAAGTGGAATTCCAGGTTTGTATCACTTTCTTTTTTGCTGTTTATTTCTCTGGATAATGAGCCCAGCGAGGAGGTAAGAGCCCCTCCCCCCTCCGCACACCTCGCCGTCTTATTGGCTCCTGTTAGGAATGCAATTAGTGGCAATTATTCTGTCAATATTTACATCTCTGACAATGTTTAATCTGCTCCACCAATCGCTTAACCCCGAGCGTGCCGGGTGCAGAGGAGCGATGTGGGTGCAGGTCTCTGCCGCAGCCGGGGGCCATGATAACTGGTCATGCTGGGGCCACAGGCTGCAGTTCCAGGGCTCAGAGGCTCAATGAACCCGACCTTTCTTAAAGTGGACCTGTCATGAGAGATACTTTTCATGTTAAGTGCAGCATGCTGACTATTGTGTCAGTGTAACCCTTCCCGGAATTCATCACCTCCCACAGAGGTCACAGCCCCCCCCCCACAGAGGTCACAGCGCCCCCCCCCCCACAGAGGTCACAGCGCCCCCCCCCAGAGGTCACAGTGCCCCAGCCCCACAGAGCTCACAGTGCCCCCCCCCCCACAGAGGTCACAGCCCCCCCCCACAGAGGTCACAGCGCCCCCCCACAGAGGTCACAGCAGCCCCCCCCAGAGGTCACAGTGCCCCCACAGAGTTCACAGCCCCCCCCACTGAGGTCACAGCGCCCTCCCACGGAGGTCACAGCACCCCCCGATAGAGGTCACAGCACCCCCCACAGAGCTCACAGCGCCCCCCCCCCTACAGAGGTCACAGCGCCCTCCCACAGAGGTCACAGCATCCCCCACACAGAGGTCACAGCGCCCCCCACAGAGGTCACAGCACCCCCCAATAGAGATCACAGCGCCCCCCCCCCACAGAGCTCACAGCGCCCCCCCCCTACAGAGGTCACAGCGCCCTCCCACAGAGGTTACAGCGTCCCCCCCACAGAGGTCACAGCGTCCCTCCCACAGAGGTCACAGCGCCCCCCCATAGAGGTCACAGCGCCCCCCCACAGAGGTCACAGCGCCCCCCCCCCACAGAGGTCACAGCGCCCCCCCACAGAGGTCACAGCGCCCCCCCCACAGAGGTCACAGCGTCCCTCCCACAGAGGTCACAGCGCCCCCCCCCCCCCCAGAGGTCACAGCGCCCCCCCCCACAATGCCGCCATCTGCTTTGGCAGAAGTTCTTTGCTCGGCCATCATCCAGAGTCACCATTTACTACCAGGACTGAGATGACACACCTCCTGGTGCCTGTTCAGTTCTTGGCTGTGTATTGGGTTGCTCTGTGTATTGGATTGCTCTGGGTTGCTCTGTGTGTTGGGTTGCTCTGGGGGTTGCTCTGGGTTGCTGTGTATTGGGTTGCTCTGGGTTGCTCTGTGTATTGGGTTGTCTAGGTTGCTCTGTGTATTGGGTTGCTCTGGGTTGCTCTGGGTTGCTCTGTATTTGGTGTGTATTGCTGCTCTGGGTTGCTCTGTGTATTGGGGCTCTTGCTCTGTGTATTGGGTTGCTCTGGGTTGCTCTGTGGGTTGCTCTGTGTGTTGGGTTGCTCTGGGTTGCTCTGTGTATTGGGTTGTTCTGGGTTGCTCTGTGTATTGGGTTGCTCTGGGTTGCTCTGTGTATTGGGTTGCTCTGGGTTGCTGGGTTGCTCTGTGTATTGTTATTGGGTTGCTCTGTGTATTGGATTGCTCTGGGTTGCTCTATATACAGTATTTGGTTGCTCTGTGTATTGGGTTGCTCTGGGTTGCTCTGTGTATTGGATTGCTCTGGGTTGCTCTATATATTTGGTTGCTCTGTGTATTGGGTTGCTCTGGGTTGCTCTGTGTATTGGGTTGTTTGGGGTTGCTCTGTGTGTATTGGGTTGTTCTGGGTTGCTCTGTGTATTGGATTGCTCTGGGTTGCTTTATATATTTGGTTGCTCTGTGTATTGGGTTGCTCTGGGTTGCTCTGTGTATTGGATTGCTCTGGGTTGCTGCTCTGTGTATTGGATTGCTCTGGGTTGCTTTATATATATTTGGTTGCTCTGTGTATTGGGTTGCTCTGGGTTGCTCTGTGTATTGGGGCTCTGGGTTGCTCTGTGTATTGGGTTGCTCTGGGTTGCTCTGTGTATTGTCACTTTTATTGGCTGGGTATCCTCGCTGTGCGTTGCTGGTTGGAGTGCAGGAATGTCGTTGTTCCGGATGGTTCTATACTACAACCAGCTCCACACCCCGAATACTCTGCTGTCATTTCTGGCTGCTGAGCAGCAGCTGCGGCATTGTCCCCGGCCTGTGACCCGCCCTGACCCGACTACGCACCTTCCAAAGCCACGCAGAATCTGCAGTGTGGCCTGTCTGTGCTGTACGCCCGGTACAACAGGTACAAGCAGATGGAAATACTGACATCTCATTTGTTAAAGCGCTGTGCGTTGTCAGTATTGACCTCGGCCTTTTCATCGATGTAATCCTTGTTTTTACAGTTTTTCGTCCTCGGTGCTGCTGGTCTCCTGTGACCTCTTTGCAGCTACTTCCTGTCTCCATGTAATCCCGCAATGGTAGCATGACATTTCTCAGGTGACAACAGTGGACCATCCCAGCGTCATTCATGCTGAATCTGTCACTTGTAGTCTCCATCAACAGCCTTTGTGACAGGGAGACAACACAGGAAGACAATTGGCAGACGGGGACAGAAGCGTTGTCACCCTATAACAGGAAGTGCCTGAACAAGGACCTCCACGGCAGGATCACCAGGGCTCAGACAAAGTAGATTGAATGATCCTGGCCTGCAGACTGAGGGCATCTAGTGGCAGAGTTAGTTACTGCGGGGGGGGGGGGGGGGAATCTCAGACTTGAAGGTGAATATTGCAGCAAAAGCTGCTTTTTCTAATTTATGTTTTATTGGACTATTCGCTATTTTTGGTTGGAGCTCTGAAGGGTGGTGGGCGGGGGCTGCTGGGACATGTAGTTCTTCCGATGCCTGTGGGGTGTCCTTTATCCTGAATATATTCAGTCATCGGCAGGGGCGGACTGACAACTCATGGGGCCCCCGAGCAATAGGAAATCATGGGGCCCCTGTGTCTTCGCCCACACTCAAACCACACACCCAAAAAAGCCTATGAAAGGTACCAGGGGCATCTCATGGGGCCCCCTGACCCTGGGCCCTCGGGCGGTGCCTGAGTGCTCCAATGGTCAGTCCGCCCCTGGTCATCGGTCAGTATTGTGTCTGCAGACAGGAACCCTCCATGACAAAGTCACCTGCTCCACAGACCCCGAGGAATCCCCCCCTGCTGCACAAAGCCAGGCAAGAATTCCTTTCATAGGTTTTGTCAGAACCCCCCCCCCTCCCAAAAAACATTTTTACCCGCCCACTACCAATCACCCACCGCCCCCAGGACCCCCCCCTGCTGGGATCCTCAATGGAAGGGACCCCTTTTAAGTCATTGTCCTGGTGTGCTTTCTGCTCAGTCCGCCCCCTTCATAGGGTGAGCTGTCAGTGTGTGCTGAGTGACCCCCCCCATACATGCCCACCAAGGAGACCGGGGACGATGCAGGATGCAATCACCAAACGACCAACCAGCAACGCACAGCGAGCATACCGAGCCGATAAATGGGACAATACACAGAGCAACCAATACAGAGAGCAAACCAATACAGAGAGCAACCCAATACACTGAGCAACCAATACAGAGAGCAAACCAATACACAGAGCAACCCAATACACTGAGCAACCAATACAGAGAGCAACCCAATACAGAGAGCAAACCAATACAGAGAGCAACCCAATACACTGAGCAACCAATACAGAGAGCAAACCAATACACTGAGCAAACCAATACAGAGAGCAGAGAGCAAACCAATACACTGAGCAACCAATACAGAGAGCAACCCAATACAGAGAGAAAACCAATACAGAGAGCAACCCAATACACTGAGCAACCCAATACAGAGAGCAAACCAATACAGAGAGCAAACCATATACAGAGCAACCAATACAGAGAGCAAACCAATACACTGAGCAACCCAATACAGAGAGCAAACCAATACACTGAGCAACCAATACAGAGAGCAAACCAATACACTGAGCAACCAATACAGAGAGCAACCCAATACAGAGAGCAAACCAATACAGAGAGCAACCCAATACACTGAGCAACCCAATACAGAGAGCAAACCAATACAGAGAGCAAACCAATACACAGAGCAACCAATACAGAGAGCAAACCAATACACTGAGCAACCCAATACAGAGAGCAAACCAATACACTGAGCAAACCAATACAGAGAGCAAACCAATACACTGAGCAACCAATACAGAGAGCAACCCAATACAGAGAGCAAACCAATACAGAGAGCAACCCAATACACTGAGCAACCCAATACAGAGAGCAAACCAATACAGAGAGCAAACCAATACAGAGAGCAAACCAATACACTGAGCAACCCAATACACTGAGCAACCCAATACAGAGAGCAACCCAATACACTGAGCAACCCAATACAGAGAGCAACCCAATACACTGAGCAACCCAATACAGAGAGCAACCAATACAGAGAGCAACCCAATACACTGAGCAACCAATACAGAGAGCAACCAATACAGAGAGCAAACCAATACACTGAGCAACCCAATACACAGAGCAACCTAACACATAAAGAAACCCAATACACGGAGCAACCCAATACAAAGAGCAGTCCACAACAGCCCAATACACAGAGCAGTCCAATACATGGAGCAACCCGAGAGGGTGAAAAATCCAACACACAAAGCAAATACTGCCCCGTGGTAAGATATGGGGCTAACAGTGGCAAAGCGATACACGCCCCAGCATTGGTGGGAAGAGAAAAATGTCCCAATGTCAATGGTGTCACTGGAAGGACAAATGCTGGGTCAGTCCGAGGAGGATTACTTTGGCATCTGTGTTGGTGGGATGAAAGAAAAGAGTAAAGAAGTTCTCCACCAGAGTTCTTCTCCACTGGCCATCAAAGAAAGGGGGTTCTTTTCCCACTGACTATCAATCTATTGGAGTCCTCCCACTGACCACCAATGTAAGGGAGACCTTCTCATCTGACCACCAAGTAAAGGACCTTCTACTGACCGTCAGTCTATTGATGCCCTTCTCCTACATGCCACCAATCTTTTGGGCACCTCCTAATGGCCAAAAATGTAATAAAGTCCTTCTTGGCTGACCACCAAAGTAAGGGAGTCCTTCCCCACTGGCTATCAAAGCAAGGGAGTCCTTCTTCCACTAATTACTAATGCGTGGGAATGCTCCCGCTGATCATCCATTTATTGGAGACCTCCCACTGGCCATCAATCTATTGGAGTTCTCCCACTGACCATCAATCTGTTGGAGTCCCCCCACTGACCATCAATCTATTGGAGTCCCCCCCACTGACCATCAATCTATTGGAATCCTCCCACTGACCATCAATGTAGGGGAGACCTTCTCAGCTGACTACCAAGTAAGGGACCATCTACAGACCAACAATCTATTGCAGGCCTCCCACTGATCACCAGTCTAAGGGAGTCCTTCTCTTATTGGCCACCAATCTATTGGAGACCACCCACTGACCAACAACGTAATAGAGCCCTTGGCTGACCACCAATCTAAGAGAGCCCTTTTCCCACTGACCACCAATGTGAGGGGTCCTTCTTCCACTAATCACTAATGTAAGGGAGTCCTTCTCTCACTGACCACCATTCTATTGTAGATCTCTCACTGATCACCAATGAAAGGGTGTCTTTCTCCCAGTGACCACCAATCTAAGGGAGTCCTTCAACTGACCACCAATCTTTTGTAGTCCTCCCACTGACCATCAACGTAAGGGAGTGCTTCTCCCACAGGCCATTAGTGCAAGGCAGTCCTTCTCCCACTGACCACCAATCCAAGGGAGTCCTTCTCCCACTGGCCACCAACCTAAGGGAGTTCTTCTCTTATTGACCAACACTCTTTTGGAGTCCTTCCACTGACCACCAATGAAGAGAAGTCCTTCTCTGCTGATGACTAAAGTAAGGGAGTCCTACCACTGACCATTAATGTAACAGACTCCTTCTTCAACTGACTACCAATCTAAGGGGTTCCATCTCCCATTAACCACCAAAGTAAAGAAGTCCTTCTCCTACTGACCACTAACATTAGGGAGTCCTTCTCCCATTGGGCCAAAAATGTAGGGGAGTCCTTCTCCAGGGTTCCTCACTGGTTAAAAGGGTGGGAGGGGCCCCCATAGACTATTAGGCTCCTCCCCTCACTCCTTTGCCTATGAAATAGGAATTTCTATATGTTTGCCCTGTACAGGCCAGTACACTCTCTGTGTACCTGGCAGCTCTATACATGCTGCAACTGACAGGTCCGATCCATATCAGCACTACGTCATGACACGCCGCCATCCATCATCCGGGTTTCCATGCCTTGGACAGGGGTACAATGGGGACAACGGGATGCATTAGCTGTGCTACGCTTGGTGGTGATGAGTGGAGACATGTTGCTTTTTAAATCCTCCCAGATCAATATTCTTTGTTGCTGCAGACTTGAAGTGTGTAGGGTGTGCCGGCGTATGGCATTCCTGGAAGTGAAGGGCTCCGGCTGCCTTCAAGTGTTTTAATTGACATTTTAATGCAATACTTTTAGGAAGCAGAACGCGTCGAGCAAGTCTGAACTGATTGTGTTCTCGTCTGGAAAGGAACAGATCAAAGCCAGCCTACAAGGAAGACGCTCATTGGTCCCCATTCACCAGTACTTCCCGGGGTCAATGTCTGCACCAGCAACCTGATCATTCAGATTAGGCTGCATGCAATGAGATGATATACACATCCGAATACAAAACTGAAAACCGCATATGGCGGCACTTTATGAAATTAGGCAATCCTTCCCAATCAGAAGAAACACAAAACACCGGAAGCATTCTCATCATAGAGGAAAAGTAGATCCACCAAAAGTGAGCTCATCTCCACCTTTATCTGAAAACTCCGCTTACCAGATATTAGAAATTAATAAACACATAATATTTCCTATGGGGGTGCACTAAGAACAGGGGGGCCAGGCCAGCACCGGTGGGGGACCCAAGAAGAGAAGGTGTCAGGAGCACCGGAGGGGGACCTCAAAAGAGAAGGAGCCAGGAGCACTAGAGGGAGACCCCAGAAGAAGAGCTGAGAACTCTGGGGGGACCCCAGAAGAGAAGGAACCAGGAGCACTAGAGGGGGACCCCAGAAGAAGAGCTGAGAACTCTGGGGGGGACCCCAGAAGAGAAGGAACCAGGAGCACCAGAGGGGGACCCCAGAAGAGGAGGAGCTGAGAACTCTGGTGGGGGACCTGAGAAAAGAAGGAGCCAGGAGCACCAGGGGGAGACCCCAGAAAAGCAGCAGTCAAGTGCTCCAGCAGGGGACCTCAGAAGAGAAGGCGCTGAGCACTCTGGTAGGAGACCCAAAAAAGGAGGAGCTGAAAGCTCTATTGGGGGACCCCAGAAAAGGAGCAGCCGAGAGCTCTAGTGGGGGATCCCAGAAGAGGAAGAGCCAGGAACACTAGTGGGAGACTTCAGAGAGAAGGAGCCAGGAGCACCAGAGGGAGATCTCAGAAAAGGAGAAGCTGAAAACTCTGGCAGGGACCCCAGAAGAGAATGAGCCAGGAGCACCAGTAAGGGACCCAAGAAGAGCAGAAGCCAAGAGCTCTGGTGGGGGACCCAAGAAGAGGAGGAGCTGAGTGCTCTGGTAGTGGACTCCAGATGAGGTGGAGCTTAGAACTCCACTGGGGTACCCAAGAAGAGGAGGAACCGAGACCTCTGGAGGGGGACCCCTAAAGGGGAGGAGTTGAGAGTTCCAGTGGGAGACCCCAGAAGAGGAGGAGCCAATAGCGGTGGTGGGGGACCTCAGAAGAGGAGAAGTCGAGAGCTGTGCCTGGGGATCCCAGAAGAGGAGAACCCAGGCACACCAATGAGGGACTTCAGAAGAGAAGGAACCAGGAGCATGAGCGAGCGAGGTACAACAGAAAAGGTGGAACCAGAAGCACTGGTGGGGGATTCCAGAAGAGAAGGAGCCAGGAACACCAGTGGGGTACCCCAAGAAGAAGAGAAGTTGAGAGCTCTGGTTCTGAACCCCAGAGCAGAAGCCAAGAGCTCCAGCAGGTGACCCCAGAAGAAAAGGAGCTCAGAACTTCAGTGGGGGACCCCAGAAGAGAAGGATCTGAGAGATGTGGTGGTGGACCTGAGAATAGGAGGAGCCTAAAGCTCTGACAAGGAACCTCAGAAGAGGAGGATCCGAGAACTCCAGCAGAGTACCCCAGAAGAGGAGGTGCTGACAGCTCCAGCGGGGGACCACAGAAGAAAAGGAGCCGAGAGCTCTGGTGGTGGACCCCAGAAGAGGAGGAGCCATGAGCTCCAGAAGGGGACCCCAGAAGGGAAGGAACCAGGAGCACCAGCACTGGACCCCAGAAGAAGAGGAGCTAAGAGCTCTGGCGGGGGACTCCAGAAGAGAAGGAGCTGAGAAATCTTGTGGTGGACCGGAGAACAGAAGGAGCTATGAGCCCCAACAGAGGACCCCAGAGGAGAAGGAGCCGAAAGCTCCAGTGGGGGACCCGAGAAAATGAAAAGCCAAGAGCTCTGGCAGGAGACTCCAGAAGAGAAGGAGCTGTGAGCTCTGGCGGGGGACCCAAGGTGGGAAGGAGCCAGTAGAACCAGCGAGAGACTTTAGAAGAGGAAGAAGCGAGAGCTCAGGTGGGGGACTTCAGAAGAGGAGGAGCAAAGAGCTCTAGCACATGACCTGAGAAAGGAGGAATTTTTTGAGCTCTAGCGAGGGACCCCAGAAGGGAAGGAGCACCAAAGCGGGACCCCAGAAGAGGAGGAGCCAGGAGCACCAGTAGGGGACCCAAGAAGAACAGAAGCCAAGAGCTCTGGTGGGGGACCCAAGAAGAGGAGGAGCTGAGTGCTCTGGTAGTGGACCCCAGATGAGGAGGAGCTTAGAACTCCATTGGGGTACCCAAGAAGAGGAGGAACCGAGACCTCTGGCGGGGGACCCCTAAAGGGGAGGAGTTGAGAGTTCCAGTGGGAGACCCCAGAAGAGGAGGAGCCAATAACTGTGGTGGGGGACCTCAGAAGAGGAGCAGTCGAGAGCTGTGCCTGGGGATCCCAGAAGAGGAGAACCCAGGCACACCAATGAGGGACTTCAGAAGAGAAGGAACCAGGAGCATGAGCGAGCGAGGTACAACAGAAAAGGTGGAACCAGAAGCACTGATGGGGGATTCCAGAAGAGAAGGAGCCAGGAACACCAGTGGGGTACCCCAAGAAGAGGAGAAGTTGAGAGCTCTGGTTCTGAACCCCAGAGCAGAAGCCAAGAGCTCCAGCAGGTGACCCCAGAAGAAAAGGAGCTCAGAGCTTCAGTGGGGGACCCCAGAAGAGAAGGATCTGAGAGATGTGGTGGTGGACCTGAGAATAGGAGGAGCCTAAAGCTCTGACAAGGAACCTCAGAATAGGAGGATCCGAGAACTCCAGCAGAGTACCCCAGAAGAGGAGGTGCTGACAGCTCCAGCGGGGGACCACAGAAGAAAAGGAGCCGAGAGCTCTGGTGGTGGACCCCAGAAGAGGAGGAGCCATGAGCTCCAGAAGGGGACCCCAGAAGGGAAGGAGCCAGGAGCACCAGCACTGGACCCCAGAAGAAGAAGAGCTAAGAGCTCTGGCGGGGGACTCCAGAAGAGAAGGAGCTGAGAAATCTTGTGGTGGACCGGAGAACAGAAGGAGCTATGAGCCCCAACAGAGGACCCCAGAGGAGAAGGAGCCGAAAGCTCCAGTGGGGACCCGAGAAAATGAAAAGCCAAGAGCTCTGGCAGGAGACTCCAGAAGAGAAGGAGCTGTGAGCTCTGGCGGGGGACCCAAGGTGGGAAGGAGCCAGGAGAACCAGCGAGAGACTTTAGAAGAGGAAGAAGCGAGAGCTCAGGTGGGGGACTTCAGAAGAGGAGGAGCAAAGAGCTCTAGCACATGACCTGAGAAAAGGAGGAATTTTGAGCTGTAGCGAGGGACCCCAGAAGGGAAGGAGCACCAAAGCGGGACCTCAGAAGAGGAGGAGGAGCTGAAAGCTCTGGTGGGGGACCCCAGAAGAGGAGGAGCTGTGAGCTCCGGCAGGAGACCCCAAAAGAGAAGAAGCCAAGAGCTCCTAGGAGGACCTCAGAAGAGGAGGAGCCAAGGTCTCCTAGGGGACCCCAGAAGAGGAGGTTCGGGGCCACTCTGTGCAATACCATTGCACAGAGCAGGTGAGTATAACATGTTCGTTATTTTCTAAAAAAAAAAATGAAAGCTTTACAATCACTTTACCTTCCTCATCGACTCACAAGCTCCGTTTTACCTAAAAGAATACATTTAGATGTCCTCACGTAAAATATAATTTGTCGAGGATTCTACCCTTCCCCCACCCAGTCTAGTTCCGTCTGGAGGTACTCTTTAGCTAACTGTAGGTGATCATGTACCAAACTTGTGGGTTTTATCAAATCTTGCCCGAGGTCGGAGTTCCCCCTTCGGTGAGTTTATAGATTGCTGAGATTTCACAGAAGACAGATGTGACCTGGGATGGCGACTGTCCCCGGATTGGATCGGTTATGTGGGTGACGCCACATATTTATGCTCATGTTTGTTTTCACTGGCCGTTGTGTGCATCATGGTGACATTTCCCAGACGGGCGTGCTCCGGATTCCCACACATGGATCAGACTGCCAGGTGAGAAGACGCAGGACAGCGCCGGACGGGGCGACTCTGAGGAATCCCAGAACTCCTCCCGCCTCCCCTTCAGTCTTGCACATTTGTATCGGCTCCTCTCCTGGACTGAAACGGCTTACGCTGATTTCACCGCACACTGTGAGCTTCTCACAATGTGCATTAGAAGCTACAGCAAGTCAGACAGAGCTCCGCCTCATTTCCTGGCTGGAGGACATCCAGCATCATCTAGAGCTTTCCTCCCTAGCCTGACTGTCCCTGACCCCACCCCTTTCATTCATTGGATTTTAGTTCTTTCATTCATGGAGGTTCAGCATCACATGTGACCCGGAGGCTGACTGACAACTCATGGGGCCGACGGGCAATAGGGGATCATGGGGCCCCTGTGTCCTTGCCCAAACTCAAAAAAGCCTATGAAAAAGGTACCAGGGGCAACTCATGGGGCCCCCTACTGACCCCAGGCCCTTGGGCAGTGCCCCGAGTTTCCAAATGGTCAGTCCGCCCCTGCATGTGAGCGTTACCTATGTAAATATAGCCTGCTTAGGAGAGAAGGAGCCAGGAGCACCAATATGGGACCCTTGAAGAGCAGAAGCCGAGAGCTCTGGCAGGGGACCCCAGAAGAGGAGGAGCTAAGACCTCCAGCTGGGTATCCCAGAAGAGGAGGAACTGGGTGCTCTGGTGGGGGACCATAAAAGGAGGAGATAAGATCTCCGGTAGGGTACCCCAGAAGAGGAGGAGCTGAGACCTCAGGTGGGGGATCCCAGAAGAGGCGGAGCCAAGAGCTCTGATGGGGGACCCAAAAAGGGGAGGAGTTGGGAGCTTCAGCGGGGGGACTCCAGAAGAGGAAGAGCCAGAGCTCTGGCGGGGGACCCCAAAAGAAGACTAGCCGAGAGCTCTGACTGGAGATCCCAAAAGAGGAGGAGGCAGGAGCACCAGTAGGGTCTGCAGAATAGGAGGAGCTAGAAGCATTGGTGAGGAACCTCAGAAGAGAAGGAGCCAGGACAGTGGTGTATTTAGGTTTTGTGGTGCCCTATACAACACAAAAATAGGCCACCCCAACCTCCCCGCAGAGAGAGCCTGATACCAACCCCAACCCCCCCACCCCACCGTGAGAGATCATAACACAACAGATACCTCCTTCACAGCTCTGGACATCCCCGGAAACGAGAGTTGGGTTCTGCATACGCTCTCAAGCAGCTCGTACCCTCTCTCTGATCCCACGTGGTCCCTGTTCGTTGCTGCCCCCCCCTGAAAAATGCCGCCCTAGGCAAATGCCTTGTTTGCCTTGTGGAAAATATGCCCCTGAACCAGGAGCACCAGCAGGGTATCTCAGAAGAGGAGGAGTTAACAGCTCTTGTTGGGAACCCCAGAACAGGAGGAGCCAAAAGAAAAAGAGCTGAGGCAGCAGGGACCCCAGAAAAAAAAGAGCTGAGAGATCTGCTGGGGACCCCAGAAACAAAAGGAGCCAGAAAGCTCTGACGGGGGACCCCAGAAGACAAGGAGCCGAGAAATCTGTGGTGGACCACAGAACAGAAGGAGTGGAAAGCTCTGGTGGGGGATCCCAGAAGAAAAGGAGCCGTGAGCTCTGGGTGGTGGACCCCAGAAGGGAGGAGCTGTGAGCTCTGGTGGGGGACCCCAGAAGGGAAGGAGCTCCGGTGGCAGTAGCAGCGGGGGACCCCAGATGAGGAAGAGCTGACAGCTCTGACGGGGGACCCCAGAAGAGAAGAAGCCAAGAGCACCAGTGGGGAACTCCAGAAGAGGAGAAACTGAGGGCTCTGGTTGGGGACGCCAGAAAAGGAGGAGCTAAGAGCTCCAACAGGGGACCCCAGAAGAGAAGGAGCCGAGAGCTCCAGTGGAGCCTGCCTAGGAACACCTACTCCTCCAGACTGACACCCACCCATCAAGACATTTTGATATTTGCATAACTCCTCGCACTGCTTGCATCGGGACGGAGGGCTCTTGAGAGGAGTACTGAGGGAGGGGACTGTTATATTTTCAGGAAACTATGAACATCCCCCTGCTGGCCTGTCCCACTAGCCTCCCACCAGCTATGACCTGTCTGCATGCATATAGAAGCACAGAGACCCAGTGATGACATTATCTAGGCTAAAATAATGTATGTAATGAAAATGGAATGGTTCCAGTTAAAAATTCCATTAGCATTTTGATGAGAGCCGAGGGAGAGAAAGTAGGGAAAGCAAAAAATATATGCAGATTAATCTTCAGCTTAGACAAAGTTACGATGTACAATCTGGTCACTGGGGGAGGGGAGACTGAGGAAATGCTTCCTGCTGCCTGCAGCAGACTGATGACATCATCTCAGCCTAGGTAAAGTCACTAGATTTTAGTAGCCAAACAGATTGTATGTCAGTCCCCCAACTGTCACAGCAAAAAAGAAAAAAAAAATCAAACAAAAGTTTTAAAGAATATAACAAGGTGTCCGGGGCTGATCTGTGTCAGACATTTGTGAACACAGCCGGGAACACGCCACATTTTTTTACTGCAGAAAAGTCCATGTGACCCAATCTGATGTGAATGTGGCCTAGTGTACGGATTCTTCAATGGAATATGATTACAAAGATTCCACTACAATCCTGCAAATATAAATACAACACTTGTAGATTGTCAGCTCCTGGGACCGGCGGTGAAGAGCGCTCAGCCCTGTACTGCAGAGAGCGCGGTGTGCCGCAGTGTTCAGGATCCCGGCTGTCTCTGCTCAGTATTCACACAACTCCCCGGACGCCTCATTAGATTCTCTAAAACAACTATTTGATTATTTCTTCTTTTTTTAACTTGAGTGTCGTCTCCCAGCAGAGCCCCGGAGGGGAGAGACTACGAGAGAACTGATTAGACGTGAGCGGAGGTGGGGGTGGGGGGGACGCGGAGACGAGTCTGAGGAGAGAAAGTACTTTACTTACAGGACAGAAAATCCGACAGTAAAACTTTGGTGTGTTTATTAAAGGGTAACTCCGGGTGGCCATACATGACCCAACTCCAGCCAAAACTGAAGCATGGCGAGAACTGATCCATTGATTGTGGGACGCCCCCCCCCCAGAAGGGTGGAGGATATTAAAGTCACAATAGGGCCAACTCCATATTAATGACCATTATATGGGGGGGAGTACATATTAATAGCCACCACCACCATGGAGGAAGGTGGCTCATTCATCATTTAGGGGGTGGCTCATTCACCATGGAGGGGGGTGGCTCATTCACCATAGAGGGGGGTGGCTCATTCACCATGGAGGGGGGTGGCTCATTCACCATGGAGGGGGGCGGCTCATTCACCATGGAGGGGGGGGGGGGGGCTCATTCACCGTGGAGGGGGGTGGCTCATTCACCATGGGAGGGGCGGCTCATTCACCATGGAGGGGATGGCTCATTCACCATGGAGGGGGTGGCTCATTCACGTGGAGGGGGGTGGCTCATTCACCATGGAGGGGGGTGGCTCATTCACCATGGAGGGGGGTGGCTCATTCACCATGGAGGGGGTGGCTCATTCACCGTGGAGGGGGGCGGCTCATTCACCATGGAGGGGGTGGTTCATTCACCATGGAGGGGGGTGGCTCATTCACCATGGAGGGGGTGGCTCATTCACCGTGGAGGGGGCGGCTCATTCACCATGGAGGGGGATGGTTCATTCACCATGGAGGGGGGTGGCTCATTCACCATGGAGGGGGGTGGCTCATTCACCATGGAGGGGGGGGGGCTCATTCACCATGGAGGGGGGTGGCTCATTCACCATGGAGGGGGGTGGCTCATTCACCATGGAGGGGGTGGCTCATTCACCATGGAGGGGGTGGCTCATTCATCGTGGAGGGGGGTGGCTCATTCACCATGGAGGGGGTGGTTCATTCACCATGGAGGGGGGTGGGGTGGAGGGGGTGGCTCATTCACCATGGAGGGGGTGGCTCATTCACCATGGAGGGGGGTGGTTCATTCACCATGGAGGGGGTGGCTCATTCACCGGCTCATTCACCATGGAGGGGGGCGGCTCATTCACCATGGAGGGGGGCGGCTCATTCACCATGGAGGGGGGCGAGCTCAATCACCATGGCGGGGGGCGGCTCATTCACCATGGAGGGGGGCGCCTCAATCACCATGGAGGGGTGCCACTTCCTATTATTGACCATGGGATGGAGGGTGGACCAGGGGCGGACTGACCATTTGGAAACTCGGGCACCGCCCGAGGGCCCGAGGTCAGTAGGGGCCCCCATGAGATGCCCCTGGTACCTTTTTCATAGGCTTTTTTGAGTTTAATCACTCCTAGCACACCTTCCAAAATTTCCCCTCCTAGAATAATTCTTACCCCCTGCCGCAGCCCCCCCCCCCCCAGATTCCTCCTCCCAACACAAGTCCCCCCCCCCAATCTCCTTGTGGTACCCCTCCCCCCAACCTCTCATAATACCACAGTGCCCAGGGCAGCCACCCCTCCTGCCCACCCCTTGTCCCGGCCCTGATCACCATGGAGGGGGGAGGGGATTAACTCCATATTAATGGCCATGATTCTGGAACAGGATCTCCAACCAGCTAACAGAGGTGTGATGGTCAGGGGTTCCCAGACTTTTGGCCATATACTGTATGCCATTACATGGCAAGCCTGCCCAGCAAGTGAAGTCTGCCTCCAACCACTTTCCGCTTCTTGGGATCCAAATAGACATGACACACAATGCAATTCCATCCATTCAGCATGGTCTTCCACCATCCCCCGTCCTTGCTTAGAAATTGGCTGGTAGTTGGAGGGGGGTGATTGGTTGTATTCGGCTCATACATGGGAAATGACATTCTGAACATTTTCTGTGCGATTCTGGTACCAATATCAGTGTTTGTATCCGGGTGTCAGATATATATATCTCCGGGGGGGGGGGGGGGGGGGTCGGTGCGGGATTTGTAGAAGGTCATTAGTGTAGACTTGTCACTTCCACAGGGCAGGCTTAGCGTCGCCCTCTGACGGGATAATTACTAATTAGAGAACGCTTTCATCTATTACTGGATGGTGTCACTCATTACAAAGCAATTTCCCTCATTAATATAACTCCCATTCATTAGAGGACATTATAAATACAGCGCGGGGTTCCTCTGGATGGAGATGATTATCCCCAGGCTTCTCTCCTATATAATCCCTCGTTTATTAGAAGCCTCTCCATTCTCCGAGTGGATTTAGCTTCAGGTGGGATGAGGGAAGGAAGATCCCTTTACCTGTTCATCATCAATGAATGACACCATGTGTGGAGCCTGAACAGAGTGCAGGGGACAGTCCCCTCCTCCGAGATCAAAATGTCTTCATATTGGGGGGCACGAAGGACACCCAGTTATTACATCAAGGTGGTATCCTTTCATCTCCAAGTGGATACCACCATTACTAACCAAATGATGGGGCCTGGGCAGGACCTCTAAATAATTCAAATTAAAAAATGAAATGATCTCCATTATAGAACTTGAAACTGAAGGTGACAAATGGGCTTTCATTTAAGGTTTACTTATCGGGTATATACAGTCATGGCCAAAAATCGTGCCCCCCCCCCCCCCCCCCCCCCCCCCCCC